ACTTTTAAAATAATAAAGTCAACTCCTCGTTTAAAGTTTCTATAAACCGACAACGCGTAAAAATGTTAAGATTTAATTAAAATACCTGAAACATATTTTTTTAGTATGCATAATTATAAAAAGACATTCGCATTATATCGAACGTGTTCAGAAGTTTTAACAAAAAATTCAATAGATGGCGCAGATTCATAAATTTCAAAGGCCGGCAGCAATGACTTTTTTGCGTTTATGAATGGTTATTCTCTGCTGTGACCATAGTCACGTGACCTTCACGCATGCGCGTTGCATACTTTTTGTGACGTCACAACCAACAACCAAGATTTAAGGAATAGTAGCGCATGCGTGGTGCGTGCGGGGCGCATTCATTGCTTTACAAAGGCGTGCGGTCCGTGTATAGTATATGTGAATGTATATTTATGTTAGCCGTTTTTTTACAAACTTTTATTTTATTATTGAATCTTAATAAACGCGTTTGTACATTTTATGTCAAGCAAAGCCTTTTTGCCTATATGGACTGCACGCCACTGCCATTATCCAAGAGAACGGTCAAGTTCATGGAGTCTTCAATGACCTTAACAGTATATTTCCATAACCATGCAGTAGACAGACAATAGTGAATCTGTGACGACGGAAAACATGCAGATTATCCCATTTGTGCAGTCAGTCAGCCAATCACTGAATAACAACGGTTACTATCATTGCAGATAGCTATCAAATCATCAAACAGACTGGTGTTCACTACTAGTGTCTACTTAGGTAGATAGGTATATCTAATGTACTTCGATAAATATAGTTTTCGTTTTATCTGTGGTTTGAAATTATATAGGAGGGAAAATATGGGACGCGGTTTTGTTTAATTTTTGTACTGTTTTGACTGGAATACATTTTTTTTAAATTTCTTGGTATTAGTGATTTGCAAACCGTTGATTTCGTAGGATTCCATAAAATATTTATAATGGTAACTACCTAATTTTAAACTAATTCTGGTGTAGAACCGATTCTGATGGTACGTGACTGCGATACAGTACCAATACCTCAGTGTAGATTGTACCTAAATAATCGAAATATACTTGAAAATATGTTGTGATGACCTTATCTTAATATAAATTCAAGGAAATACTAATACTAGCAGTGTTAACAAAAAGTAACAGCGATTCAAAACAACGTCCATTAAACCTCCTCGAATTACACATAACTTCTATCTCTCTAGTATCTCTAGATAATTAGTATTAATTCTCAATGTAAACCGATGTATTTGAATGCAAAACATGTGTTATCGTGGCTAATACAAGTGATATTATATTATAAACAATATATTGTTATCTACATTTAATAGTACTATCGTGAGATTACGCGAAACCTTGTAAAGTTCATGTGAGTGAGTGGTGGCGAAGGTGGTCTGATTTTCTCTGCAATTACACGTTTTTCAGTGCTTTAAAACTAGACACTCTATTATTAATGATTAAGAATTATGCAATCGAAAAGCCTTTTAATGCTGTACTCTGGCGAACTTGGAATTCTTACGTTCGGTAGTTAGTTGGTTTTGGGACTAAAATGTGTCAGTCTCATATTTACTAAAATCGTCTGTATTCGAATGCTACTAACTAATAAAATCTTTAATTAATATGATTCTCCAACTTATCGCCCGAGCACGTCTGAAACAGTATCTGCATCTCCATGCTAATGTGTGAATTCTCCGTACCTTATAAGTACTCAAGAAGTTACCATCTCAACTAAAAATAATAACACCAACTACCTATATTAGGAGCTAAACATTAATGAAACGTAAAAACTAGTACTTATCATGATCACACTATCCAAATATGTACTGTGCTGGGGTTTTACCCATTTAACTGTTTTGCATGCCTTAAGGGCTTTACTGTTAGACAGACTCTTTCTTTCTTTTTAATATATAATAAGGTAGACCTTGGAAGATTTGGAGGGAGGCATCTCGGTTGGATGCATAAAAATCAGTAACCTAAGATAAGCTGATGATACCACACTCTTTGCGTCATCTGAAAAAGAGCTTGCTTGCTAGCTTCTTTTCACTCTCAAATCTAGGGACTCGCGATTAACAAAACCAAGACCAAAGTCATGATCTCTGACAGATCCGGTCAACTGCCTAGAACTAATGAACTCTCAAATCTAGACTTTGTTGACGACTTTGTATACCTGGGGTCTATAACAACAAATCAGGGTGGAAGGTAGCAGGAGATTCGAAGAAGAACACTAATGGCCAACGCTAGCAAAATGACACGTAGACGGCAAAACAGAAATATCTCCAACATCACCAACAGGAGAGTAGTTCGGACAGTGGTCTTCCCTATCTTCGTCTATGGTGCAGAGTCGTGGACTATTAGGGTCCTAGATCGCAAAAAGATAGATGTTTTCGAAATATAGTGTTGGCGAAAAATGCTCCGGATACCATGGACTACCAGACGAACAAATAAGTCAATCCTTTAGCAGCTCGGTATAAAAACTAGACTCAACCTTATGTTATCAACGAATTCTTGGGTATTTCGGTTACATTGCCCGGCGCCAGTCAGATAACCTCGGCAATTTAGATGTTATTAATAAGGTGGAAAGAAAAATACCATGTGGCTGAGCACCTAGCCAATAGTGTGACCAAGTTACCAATCACACTGGACTCTTTGTTACGAAAGCTCTGAGAAAAGCGGAAAACAGGACAAGATGGAGGGAAATAACACAGATAGTGAATGAAAACCTTTCAGGGGCACGATATTCAGACATGAAACAAGCGATAGTGAAGACTTACGGGCCAATTTACATTGTAAATATCACCTGTATGTATCTCAATATATTCTTTCTGGGTAGGTAGGGTAGTAAAACATTTCAATTATACGCAGGAATACAAACAAAAATAATATCTCAATTATTATGATAACTCTAGT